ATGATAGATTTGTATTTGATAATAGAATTTAACAGTCAATCAAAATCGAATGGTTTTATTAATCCATCTTCATTTGTATTATAATCCTATGTTTTTTTTTTTGTTTTTTTTAGTAATTCTTTCGTTTCTCCCTCTCTCTCTCTCTCTTTTCTATAAAAATAAAAATAATATTATTAAATAGAGAGGAGGGGTTAAATATTGGATTGGATTTGCAGAAATTTGTGTTTTAATAATAAGATGATTTAACGGATCAATCCAAACTAAAAGGATTTGTTTTTCCATTACGCGTGTTTTCAGATGAAAATTTTGTATGGTTTATTTTCGTGGTAGGCTCAAAACTTTTTAACCCACCGTATACATATCTTTCTCGCCTCCCCCTCACCATAATTTCTTTACTCTTTTGTTTCGTTTAAATTAAACTATATATTTGTTTCATCTGTAAAAAAAAAAACATCTGTCGAACATACACACGGTGTATAGAGAATAATAATTAAAAATTAGGGGGTAGGGGGAGGGTGGGGAGGAGGTAAAAAGAAAAATATTATACTTTGCAGTAGCATATGGTAAGTTTGAAGAAAAAAAAAAAAGGTTGAAATATTATGTTTTATTCATTAATTCATACACACACACACACACACATTGTCCGTTTTCGTATTTAAATTTACCTGGACGAAATGGGTGAATAATTTGAAGAAGTTCGGCCACGTCTTTGGTATCGTAACGAATGATTTTTGGTATCCGGATGTAAGAACCCAAATAACCGGAAACAATATGCTTCACAAATTCTGCTTCTCGTTTTACGCGTATTTTCTCCTCCTCGTTATTGTCGTCGTCATTGTCATCATAGTTGTTGTCCGGCAAAGTCTCACCTGGTAACGATGATTTCCGGAATCGTATTACTTCATGCTCCTGAAACATGATAGATCTTGAAAGAACATGGGGGGGGGAAAGGGGTGGGAAAAAGAAATAACGAAAATACAAAATAATAATAATATAAAAATTAAATTGTGACAATTTTTTGAAATGAATGAAATAAAAATTTTCTTGGTGAATTTGTGTGTTGGAACGTTCATTTGAAAATAAAATAGAAATAATAAAAAACCCTTAAGAAAACCCTTAAAAAAAATAAATGGTAGAAGAAATCAGTGAGTAAAAAAACATTTGGTTTAAGATTTTTTTGTATTAATCGATATGTGTATATATATATATATATATATTAATTAATTTGAAAATGAAATTATAATAAAAAAAGAGGAAAAAGAAAAGATAAATTGTGCAACGTGTGTGTATCTTTGGTAAATTCAAATTCAAGGTTGCATTTAGCGGACGACGCTTGTGAAACAGGAAAATGCAAATATTTTTGGCGTCATGGAAAAATAAAAGGATACTTAAAAATCAAATAATATAAATTCTTGATTCTTCGTTACGTTATATATTAAACTTCTATTAACATTTTCTTGTATTTTGTTTATTCTTTTAAATTCTTTCCTTTTTTTATCTAAAAGATATCACACACACACACACACACAAATTTAATGATAAATTGCTAATATAATCGATGTGTGACCAAATATAAATAAATATTTATTTAATATTACAATCACAAAAATTAAAGGGAAAAAACAAAACAATATAATTTGTCTTCATTCGAATCTGATATAAATTGATAGAAACTTTTTATTTTTATTTTTATTTTTTTTTAATTAAAACTTATATCTCTCTCTCTCTCTCGAATTTCTCTATCTTTTATTACTCAATTGAATTAAATAATGATAGAAAAATTCAAGGCAAAAGAAAATAAAAGAAAAGAAAGGAAAAAAAGAAATCAGAAATGAATATTCGGTTATGCAGTCGCTTAGCACGGGCAAGAAGTTGCACTTTGCACTTAAGTTTTTAAAACGTAAGAAATAAACAAATACATAGATCGTGTATGCGTTTAAATGAATGGGGTGGGGGTGGAGGTAGGTGTTAAGAAGGTATCGTTAATACCTTTCACTTTACTCTTTCACCTAGTAAATATTTTATATAAATATAAAAAAAAGTGAATTAAAAAATATAATTATATGCGTTTTATACTAGCGTACTCGTAGTAATTACGACGATTAACAAATTTTCACGAATATAATATACAAATTGATTTTTTTATTTATTTTATAACACACACACACACACGCACGCACGCACGCATAAATCATTTTTTAATTGAACATTAATTTGTATAAATAGTATACGCCTGATATTATTCGTCATTTCGTATTCATTCTTTTTAAGTTATACGATACGAATATGTTTATTGATATAATTAAAAAGAAATATATACATATATATTATTAATTCGTGTATAAATATTATTTCAACGATTAAGCGTATCTTTTTTTTTTTTTTTTTTTTTTTTTACAATTCTTAGATCATTGAAAATGAAAGATCGAAAGATAACGCGAATAATGCACGATCCTCGAGACATTATTCTTCGCCTTGTTTCTTCCGTCAAGTACATATTTTTTATATAGACGTATGTAAACGTGTATATATATATGATATGTAAAAACAAAGTATCTTGGATACTATAATACAATTTGTTTTCTTTTTTTTCTGTTTTTTTTTCTCATACATTAACACCTCGAATGCCACGTTAATTTTACATTTGATTTTTTTTGTTTTTGAATCATATATATTTTTTTTTTTGTTACCCAACAGGTTAAATATGCATTTAAAATTTATTTATATGCTCGTCGTAATTGTTGGTCATGGTCATTGATTGATAAAACAATGATGCATCTTGACAACGGTTGTTTTTTCTATTCAAAGATGGGAAATTACCGGTGTTCAGGTATCTCTTATTTTTAGTAAATTACACATACCAGTAGAATATAGAGAGAAAGATTAGTTGTTAAATATCGGTAATTATTAAACAATCATTATCGATACTTACATACTTGGGAAAATCGCATTAGGTATATATATATATATATAT